TTTAGTTGAATAAAATTTTACATTTTACATTATTTTGCATGGTAATCCTTTATACTATGTAGGAATGTTAGCTTACCTGCTAGGTAAACCAATATAAGGAGGATCTTCATTATCATTTCCTTTCTGGTTATTGATTATTTTTAAATTACTTTATGCTTTCTTACCTTAGTTTCCATTTTGTTATTAAATCCCAGTTGCATTGCATGATCAGCAAATGTACTTGTCTGTGCCATTTCCATTTAGAGTGATGGAGGACCCTGGGTGAATTCTTCTTTATGTTCTGTAGACAAGGGAAATTGAATTATATCTCACATTTATAATGCTTAGAGTTGAATATACATCTTCTAGATTTTGCGTTACAAATTTCTTTAGAGCCTCTATAGTCTTAGTGCATTTTTCATCTACTTGATCTGTCAGTTGTGAGTGATGAAGTATAGTCTTCATGATGCTTTGTTGCTTTATCCATTAGGTAACTAGACCTGCCTGTCTTCCAGATTTATAGGATGACAGAGTAGTAGCAGCAGCAACAAGAGGGGAGGCAGTAACCATGATAGTAGGAGCTGTTAGCCAGGATTCAGTCAATTAGAATATACTAGTATTTTGAACACTTTTAAAACTGGATTTGTTGCACAGGTTATGAAGGGTTCGAGGGAGTGCTGAGGTTACCCAGAAGTAACTGCAGGCAGCAGGTGCCACCCCTCAGGGGGACATCAAAATGGAAGAGACCAGGGGCCTGTAGAGGGGTTCCCTGGTTCTCAGGCCTCTAAGGAGGGGCATGCTGTCCAACTGCTGGAGCTCTAAGGAGAGGTTTTATCAGCATTGGGCCTCAGCCCTATGAAAAAGGGACAGGAACTAGTTGCTGATGTCTCTGTGAGAGCATGATGCGATTGGTTCTAGCGGTGCCCTAGGAAGGGGGATGCTGAGGCTGGCTGTTGCTGCTGTAGCAATGGTGACAGGAGCAAAAGGGAGTAAGGAAGCCCCTTCGCCCCTTCTCCAAAATCCAAATTCCCCTGTGGCACCTAATGTTTGTTGTGACCTAATTGGAAGCAGATCAGTGAAGGGGTCTGGAAGGTGGGGTTTGGAGAAAACCCCACTGAAAAAATGGACACAGGAACAAAGTAGCAACGGGAAATAGTGATGCCACCATGGCAGCAATGTTCTACATTTTGAAGTCATTTTTTTTTTGACGTGCAGATGTTTTAAGTGATTGTTGTAAATCCATTTATAGCTTCTTCGACAGATTTTAAGTCATCTAGGAAAACAAAGTGCCACGGCAATGTACAAAGACTATGTCTGGAACTGGGAATGAATTAATCGGATTCACCTGGATTATCAATTGGGCCAGGATTTGTCAGGCATAGGAAAAGACGGAGAAGCAAAGACAAGAGAGCAACAGGATATAAGAATAAAAAATGTTCATAATTATGCTGGAGTGTCCAAAAATTACTTTCATGTGCTGCATGTCCATGAATTAAAGGCACAACATTCAGAAGAGTCGATGTGGGAGTGGCTGGGTGCCTCATACCTATTTATGGGTGATCTGGGCTCTCCTAGGGAGGCTGCAACGTGCTCTTGAGGCAAGACATTTATCCACTTCTGGTTCTTCTTCTGCTTCTTAGCATTGTGTCAAAGCCTGGAGGGTTTTTTTCAACCACAGCCCTGTTGACATTTGGCGACAGATGATTCTGTGTCTTCAAGGTCATTCCTGTCCACTGTTGGGGGTTTAGCACCCTCCCTGGCCCCTAGCCACTAATGACGCAAGTAGCACCTTTCTAGTGGTCAGAACTAAAGGGTCTCCAGACATTTCCAGGTAGGTGCCAGGGGCAGAACTTTCTCCCATCAAGAACTCTGGTTAACGGGCATCTAAGTCCTCATGCCAGGTGTGTTTTTCTCTGGCTATTTGGACCAATTCTCAGGACTTTGGTTTCACTCTGGGATCATCAGGTTGGAGCTGACCTTGAATGCACCTGGGAAGAAATGAAGGTTATGTGAGCTTCTGGAGTAGGGCCAGACAGGGCCAGACAGGCTTATGTCTCTGCTGCCCAAGATCAGCACACAGTGCTTTATGGTTTGGACTGTGAGAGAGAATGAGATGGGTTTTCTGCATGACTGGGCCTCCTCCAGGTGTTTGTCTGCCCCTGCGTTTCTTCCAAGCCTCAAGGTACAGGGAAGTTATGTGGGTGGAAGCTACAGTCACTCAGGAAGGCCACGTTCTGGTGGAGAAACACAGCAGATTCTTATAAATGAATTCCATCCTGTCACTCCTTAATGAAAAGAAGGCACAAGCTATTAGAAGTTAGGTAAAGGGGGCGGCAAAACCCTAAGACAGGAACAGGCAAGAATTATTGAGATATACACAGTAAAATTTTATTCATTAAAATTTAGTGTACTTTTTCTTTCTTTCTTCTTTTCTCTTTCTTTCCTTCCTTCTTTCTTTTAGAGTTTACTTCTTTTAGGAATCTCCACACCCAACATGGGGCTTCAACTCATGACCCCGAGATCAAGAATTGCACGCTCTTACAACTGAACCAGCCAGGCACCCCAAAATTTAGTGTACATTTCTATGAGTTTTTAAAAACCATGTATTTGTGTCACCAAGATCACAATCATACACAGAACAGCTCTCTTACTGCCAGAAGTTTCCTCACATCCTTGTGTAATGGTTTCAGCCCCCAGGTGCCGACAACCACTTATCTTCTATCCATGTAGTTTTTCCTTTTCTCATTTCTTAAGTAAGTTTTGGTAGTTTGTTTCTTTTAGGAAATTACCCTGTTCCATCAAAGTTGTTGAACTTGATGACCTAAAGCTATGTCTTATAAGACCTGCTTATTGATCTGAGATCTGTAATTTCTGGCTCCTTTCTTTAATTACTGATACTGATTATTTGTATTCTGTTTCTCCCTTAACTCTCTCTCAAATCAACCTGTATGGGGTTTGTGCATTTTTTTCATCGTTCCACAGAACCAACTTTTGATTTCATCTTTCTTCCCTATTGATTTTCTGTTTAATTAATTTCTCTTACTATCTTTATTAACCTCCTGACTTTCTTTAGATTTAATTTGCTCTTCTTAGACAATATTAGCATATATGAACTATAAATCTATTTCCAAATGCTAATTTGGCTTTATCTCATACAGTCTGATATGATATGTTTTCCTTTTTTTTCGATTCAAAATGCTTACTCATTTTTGTTCAGAGTGTGTTGTTTAATTTCCAAATAGATGAGAATTTTCCTGATACTGAATATTGGTTCTTATTTTACTTCTGTTAGGGTCACAGGATACACTTTGTATGATTTGGATAATTTTATTTCCCATGCCAAAACAAAATTTTGTGGTTTATATTGGTAAGTGCACACTTAAAAAGAATTTTTTTTCTGCTGTGGTTGTGTGAAAATTTTAAAATTAGATTAATTAGATTAAATTCATTGTAGTATTATTTAGATCTTTTATATGCTTACTGAGCAGCCTCTTGTGTTACTGATAACTGAAAAATAATTTTTTATTGAGATATAATTACTAACATTATATTAGTTTCAGTTATACAAAGTAATGATTCAATATATGTGTATATTGTGAAGTGATCACCACAGTAAATCTACTTAACATTCATCACCATATAGTTATAAATTTTGTTTCCTTGTGATGAAAACTTTTAAGATTTACTCTTTTAATAACTTCCAAATATATAATGTTATTGCCTGTAGTAATGGTGCTGTACATTACATCCTGAGGGCTTATTTATTTTATAACTGGAAATTTGTACCTTTTGATTCCTTCGCCCATTTCACCATGCATCCCCCACCCCTGCCTCTGGCAACTGCCAATCTTTATATCAATGAGGTGTTGTTTTTTTCTTTTTTTCTCATTTGGATTCCCCTTGAAATCAAACACTGTCTGGCTCTTTCTGACTTATTTCACTTGTGTAAGGCCATCAGAATCCATCCATATTGTAATAAATGGCATGATTCCCTTCCTTTTGTGACTTAATGATATTCCAGTGTGTGTGTGTGTACATATACACTTATATCACATTTTCTTCAGCCATCCATCCTTGGAACCTGTGAATAATGTCACCTCCTATGGCAAAGTAGTTTGAGGTGGAAGGTGGAATTGAGGATGGTCATCAGCTGATCGTAAAACAGGGATAATATCTTGGATTACCCAGGTGGGCCCAATGTAATGACAAGGCTCCTAAAAAAATGGGAGAGGCAGAAGGTAAGTTTTGAATGTGAGGATGTGAGAAGGATGCAAGCCTGTTAAATGGGTGAAGCATGATTGCCTGTGATAGTTCCCATTGCTGTCCCAACCATGGAGGAAGGGAACCATAGAGCTTCCAGAAGGGAATTCAGCCCTGCTGATATCTTGATCTTAATCCATTGAGATCCATGTCATTGGATCTTTGGTTAAATTCTAACCTACAGAACTATTCAAATAATGAACTGTCTTGCTTTAAGTCACAAAATCTGTGGTGATTTGTTACAGCAGGCATTGGAAGCCATGCAGTGCTTTACAGGATGTAAGAAAAAGCCAAAAGACCATGCCCAGTGAAAGGTGATAACTTGAGAAATTCCATAGATCTCAGCCAGGAATACAAGGATGGGCCAGAGTGCTAGCTTCAGAAAGGATGTAGAAGAGACTATTTGGTATCTGGGTGGGTGTTGCTCTGTCTAGAAATTCAGATTTCTGGTAGAGTCTGACTGGTGTGGGGAAATCCAATTGTGTCAGTTCCTGGACATCGCCCCTTTGTCAGGGAGGGAGACCCCACAAGGCTGCAAGGAATGAGAGAGTGCATTTTCCCGTTGGAAAGCCATTAGTGTCCTCAGATGAAGTGGCTGGGGGAGTTTGTCCAGACCCAGTAGAAAGATGGGAACCAAACAGTAATGGAGTGAAAATGTGCAATATGACTTTTTAAAATAGGTCTTGTGTTTGCTAGTTTTGCTTTATTATTTATTCAGGTCTCAATAGGAATCCCTTTGAGAAGACAGAAAAAGAGACGGAGAGAGAGCACACAGAATAGAGAATAAAACATCTAAAGAAACACAAAGCTTCAAAAAGAGTTGATCATTCCTTGGGTGTAGTAGGCTCGATGATGGACTCGAACACCATGGGCTGGCAGCATGCTTGGCCATTTAAACACCTCCCGGCTTGGATTTCTGTTTCCAGGCAAAACTCCTGGCAAGAGCCATTTGGATGCTCACAGATCTCCTTGAATCTGCCCCTGGCTGCACAGAAAAGAGGGTTATTGTAACTATGTCTCCGTAAATTTTTATTGAATTACTGGGTGGGAGGAGTGTCTGGAAACAATCTTGGGCAGATTTTGTCATTGTTGTTGTTATTTAATTCCTTAAACCAACACTTAAAAAAAAAATATGCCTTCACTCCAAATTTGGATTTGGGGCATTCTTTTTTTTTTTTAAAAAGATTTATTTATTCATTATATATATATGATATATATATACATATATATATATCATATATATGTAGAGAGAGAGAGAAAGACAAGCAGAGTGGGAGAAGCAGGCTCCATGCCGGGAACCCGACACGGGACTCAATCCCGGGACCCCAGGATCGTGCCCTGGGCCAAAGGCAGGTGCCAAACTGCTGAGCCACCCAGGGATCCCCGGATTTGGGGCATTCTTGAAAATCAGGCAATATCTGGGGCGTCTGGGTAAGAAAGCCACCACCCGGATGACCTGCCTCCTTCAGGTCTCTGGGGACTGTGCTGACACCAGTCTTTCCTCCTCATCTCCTATCACTGATGGCAGAGATAGGTTTTCTTTAGTTTCAGTCTTGTGCTGCTAATTTTCCTAAAGCAGAAGAAACTTTTTAGAGAAATCTTTCTGTGTGTACCTTTGAAAAGTGGAAGAAAATAGAGATCTAAAAAGAGAAGATGCTTCAGGGAAATTGTTAGTGAAGTTATCTTCCTGGAGGCAGAGAACACTCCCACATATAAAATATGAAGAAAGTGTCCCAGTCACATCAGATACTTCACTCACCCCTTGTCCGTCTGAACTGGCCTTTCAGGTTGCAAGCCTGCTCTCAAAAGTGGTTCTTTGTAAGGGCTGAACAAATATAGCTGTTAAAAAGGTCGAATAATATTTGATTTGTGTTTTACTGCTTACTGTTGTGGGGTGAGCTACATACGATGGGGTGCTCAGTTTCAAAAGGGGGGCACACTTTCAAGTCGTCTTCATATGTAATAAAGTGTGCCTTTTCCATGACAACTTCTTAAGCTCTTGGCTGACATTAAGAGAAGTACTCACAACCAGCACTTCTAGGTGTTTGTATTGGGAAACACAAAGGCCAATTCTTTTTTTAAAGATTTTATTTAGCTATTTGACAAAGAGAGAGTGAGAGAACACAAGCAGGGGGAGGGGCAGAGGGAGAAGGAGAAGCAGGCTCCCCATGGAGCAGGGAGCCCGAATGCAGGGCTTCATCCCAGGACCCTGAGATCATGACCTGAGCCAAAGGCAGATGCTTAGCTGAAGGAGTCACCCAGTTGCCCCATAAAGGCCAGTTCTTGAAGACCTTCAGATCAGTAGAGGGCATTATATAAATTCAGTAAATGCCTATTGAATGGATTGAACTGAAATTCAAATGCATTCAGTTGAATTCAACTTTTCAAGATTCACAAGGCCATTAGTTAATAGATGTGAGGATCAACATCAGATTTTTACCCAAAATGTGAGCTGGGAAATAATTTTAAGGGTACTTTTTTTTTCCCTTGGGTTTTCTTTAAGGATTTGTTTGTTTGTTTATTTATTTATTTATTTATTTATTTATTTATTTATTTGGAGAGACAAAGAAAGCATGAGTGAGGGGAGTAGCAGGGGTAGAGGGAGAGAATATCTAGCAGACTCCCTGCTGAGCCCAGAGCCCAACTCATGGGCTTGATCTCATGATTCTGAGATCCTGACCTGAGCCAAGAGTCAGAGGCTAAACTGACTGAGCACCCCCAGGTGTTTCTGTTTCAAGTCAATGATCATCCTAAGTGTTGAGCACTATGCAGAAAGGAGCTGCGATCTAAGTTTTTCAATCCCTAGACTGTACATCTCTCCATTTTATCTATAAATAAATTAACTCAACTACTAAATACACAGGCCCCATTACTGTGGCTAAAACTGGCCCATTGGCACTAGGATCATAGGAAAGGAGTATATTATAGAGGATGAACCAGTGACATGAGGTGTCTTATGTGATAAATCACTGTTGAACACCCCATCATTCTTGGACTTCTTCCATTCTCTGATGGTGTGGTTTCCTGTTTGACCTCACTTTTTGATGATGAGTTCTCTGGGTGCAAGAATCACAGCTTATTCTTCCCTGTACATACCAGAACCTGACTGAAGCCTTGGCATGTAATAGGCATTCAGTCAGTGAGTGGAAAATCATTAAGACACGGCTCCTGCTCATCCTGTAACATGTTTGTATGGGAATTGGCTGTTATTGTCAGTGCACATGTCTTGGCATTAGTTGTGCAATTTTGCTGCAGTTGACTACTGAGCATTAAATTTTTACATCACAAAGGAGCTTTGTAAAGGATGACACACCATCACTCAGGTGTAAGAATCCAAGTCCTATTCAGGGCATTTTTCTTACTTTTCATTTTTATTAGTTCTTTGCTAGTGAATCGTTTATATTGCACAATGTCGTATCTAGCTCTTTGCTTCCAAAACATAAGCTGGAGTTACAATGAACATCAGAGATTATCTGATCTCATGAATTATCCTACAGATGAGGAAATGAGGCAAGGGGAAAGAGAGCAACTTATCCAAGCTCACCTAATGCTTTTGTGATGGGGGGGAATGGGAGACGTCTGTGGCCTCAGTTCCATTGAATCCCCCCCTCTTGTTCCCACTCTGTATCCCCCTCTGTTACCCTGGCTTCCAAAAGAAAAGCTTTAGTCCCACTGCAAATGACACTTAAGGGCAGCAGGAAAAGCCACCACACCCCCTTGCCCCACCACATAGACGTGTCCTATAGTCCCATATCCCAGTACAGTGGATTACTGGAAATGTTTTTTGCCTCTTGCTTTTCTAACCATCACATTACTTTCCCTTACTTTGGTTCAGTGACAGTGAAAACAACAATAACAACAACAACAAAAATGAATCCATTTTCAAAGTTTGGGAGACTTGGTTAAAAGTATTCATTTCCTGACGAGAAGGACTTTCCTCCGTCCAACCCATATGGTTAGTGAGGATACCACTTAGTAGGTACTTATCAGAAGGGTCTTTAGCAAAGCCATGTAGACACTTCTCTTTTAAGTTGAAGTCACCAGGGGTGCCTGGATGGCTCAGTTGGCTAAGTATCTGCCTTTGGCTCAGGTCATGATCCCAGGGTCCTAGGATTGAGCCCTGAGTTGGGCTCCCTGCTCAGTGGGAAGCCTGCTTCTCGCATCCTTCTGTTGCTCCCCAGCTTGTGCTCATGCGCTGTCTCTGTCAAATAAATGAATACACAACCTTTAAAAAAAAATTGAAGTCACCAGCTTGTGTGTTCCTTTTAATATCATTGGATATGGCATCACCTTTCACCGCTGTCTAGAGTCAGAAAAAAGGAAGCAGCACAATGGAGCCTTAGGGTGGAGATGAAGACCATGCCCTGAATGACAGGTAGCTCATTCTGTCAGCTTGGGGGGGCACTCACTTTTCAGGGCCTTGATTTTTCCTCTATAGAATATGAAAAATAGACTAGATCATCAAGACCTTTTTGAATCTTATCAACAACAGTTAATGATTTTATGGTATCTGACCTCTCATAGCTTCTGTGCTCATTGAAACAAAGATAAATGTTCTTTTTGTTTTGTTAAAAAAATACTCTTGCATTTGTTTAAAAAATACTTATTCTTCTCTTTAAATAAGAGAAAGCATTTTGAAGTTCATTCATAAGGGGCTCAGTGAGGCTCTTACATATTACATCCCAGCGGGATGGGGTCGCTTAACCTCAGCCCTGGAGTACAGTCCCAGACTGTTGTTCACCCTAAAACTCTTGTGAGTGTGGGTTAGTGGGTATACAGAATATTACTAAAGGAAAGATGTGGATGAGAGCCTTGATAGACAGCTTCAAACACTCTCAGTATTGAGCTGCCCCATGACTTTCCTCCAGACCCCCTATGCCTCCACAGCTTAGGGCCTGAAGCATTCAAACATTGCGTTGCTTTGGGCTTTTGTCTTTCTTTTCGGTCATGTCTTATTCCTCTCCTAAATCTCACTTAGGAAATCTCTCCTTCATTGGTGCCAGGGCTCTCTTTTGGGATGTGGTGACTCTCCCCTGAGCAGTACAGTAACCAAGCTTCTTGGGAGTCAAGGGCCATCACAGCTTTCTTTGTATTCCTGCTTCCTGGTAAGGGCGTCCCCGACTGTGGTGTCTAACTGCACTCGTTTCCCATGCCTAGACTCTCCACACTGGAAACTCTTCCCCCCTGCTTCCACCAGATTAGGTCTCCTGAAGTCAAGTTGCAAGCAACTCCCCAGTTGCACCCTCCCCACAAATCTGAAGTACGCCCTACCCATGAGCAGCAAGCAATCCTTTAAGACCCAGAGTTAGCTAGACAGTTGGGATTCACCAAGAACAGGCAGGCCTCCAACTATATTTTCTGGTGGAAATTTTGGGAAGCATCCTTTTGCAAACACCATAAAGCATAGCAACCACAGTTCCTTCACCTATACGAGGACGGTCCACTTCCACACATCTATGCCTGCTTTTTTAATAATCCCTTCCTCATCCCTGAGGCCCTGAATTCTCAAGAACAGAGAAGAAGACATTCTACGTGATGTAGAGCAAGAAGATGCTTCTTCCTCCTTGGCCCACATGTCCCGAGTTCTGCAAATGTAATGACCCATTCTGGGTGTCTTGTCACTCCCCTGGGTGAAAGTGAGGAGGGCCCCACCCATTGCACATCTGTGCAGGTCACCCTACTACACCTGTTTGACCGCAGGAGGACACACTCTGCTACCGGGTCATTTCTGACGCCTGTGTTTTAGTTCTACTGTAGAAGACTAAAATGTTGCAAAGGAGGAAGAAAAGCCAGGGGCTGGGATGGAGCCTTGAGGGGCAGAGTCCAGCGCAGGAGACCAACGGTCTGAAGGAGCAAAGGATTGGGCATGTCGTAGACTGGAGTAAGCCTTACAAGGAGGTCCCCTTGCCAGTCCCTCTGCTGGGGACCCTCCAGCTCTGGCGTGGCTCTTATGCCAGTACCTTGGAGACTAACTTTTTCTACAATAAGTGGAGGATGTTGGAAACCAAGATTTACTAGAAAAATGCCCCATTTGCTTTTGGTTATCTAGATTTGGACACTGCAGGTCCGCTTGCCTAAATCCATCTTGGGTGGGGGAGCAAACACCTCTGACCTCACTTCACCCTGCGGGTGGGCACTGATGAGCCAGGCGTCCGCAGGGCTGGGCCCCAGGCCTCCGACTTCCTAGGGCCTCCTGCTGGGGCCCGGCTCCTCCGGGCAGCCCGGAAGGTCTCGGCCCGCATCTACCAGGGCTTGGGCAGAGCTGCTCCGGTTACCTGCAAGGACTCGGCTCAGAAAGAAGAGCAGGGCGAGGAGCAGGCCCGCAGGCCTCATGGCTGCAGGAGGAGGAGCTCGGCTGCTCTGCAGAGGCAGACACGGCTTCCGTCCCGTCCGGGCGCTCCGGGGGCTGTCGCCGGGCTCGTCTGGGGGCCAGGTGCCCTTCGTCCCTCATTAGGGATGTTCGGGGACAGCGTGTGTCCTACGCACACACCGTGGCCGCCAGGAGGAAACCGAGGCCCCTGCTCTGTGGGCGCCCAGTTCGGGCCAGGAGAGCGAGCCAAATGGGAAACGAGAGCTGCGGCCCCTCCGGCCGCGCATCAGAGCGCACGGCCCGCGCTACCTGGACTCGGGTACGGGAAAGCAGCCCGTCCGGTTAGTGGCCACACCTGTAGGGGCGCCCTCCCGGGCTTTACGGGTCACTGAGCACCACGTTCCCCGCCCCTCCCCCCCCGCCCTCTGGAGCCAAGGAGCAGCTTCCGTGGGCGGGGGGGGGGGGGAGCTTAGGGAGGGGAGAGCATCCCTGTGCGGCCTACGCCTCTGCGAAAGTTCGGGAGTCCCCCGGCGGGTGCAGCACCCACTGGCTCCTGCCCCCGCGGACGGCGCTACGCGGCCTCGGGCGCCCCCGCCCCGAGACTTGGGGCGCTCTTCTGCATCACCTCGGGGAGGCCGGACCCGCCGATGCCTCCTTGCCGGGGGCGGGAGGGGGTTCCCAGGCCCTCCGGAGCTTCCGCGAAACCTTCCAAGTCACCCTCGCGCTGCGGCAGCTGCCGCTGCTGCCAAAGGAGGCGCACGGCCGGGCGCCCGGGGCGCAGGGGTCCCGGAGACGGCCACGGCCCCGCCAGCGCGCAACCAGGGCGGCCGCTGCCTGAAGGGCACCGGGAGGGCGAGGGGCCGCCAGAGCCACGCAGGGTTTCGGAGCCCCAAGGCCCGGAGGCCCCGCGCGGCCGGCCGGGGAGCAAGAGGACCGCTTTGGGGACCCCTGGGCCCAAGCCCCGCCCCCCGCCCGCCGCCCGCCGCCCCCCTGAGGCTGCTGTGTGTGCTGCGGCGGGCAGGCCGGGCTGCAGCCTCCGCTCGATGTTCTTCTCCTAAGGGGTCCCTGCGCCGGTCTCTGTTTGCCACCCCCCCCAAGGGTCACCCTCCTGTGGCTCACGTTTGCAACCACGGGACACACCGCATGGTGCGTCCTGCGACTCCGACCCCAGCCCACCCCAGCTGCTCGGTGCTTTCCCTTCACTCAGAGGGAAGTGTCTAACCCAAGTGTCACCGCAAAGATGAAAGCCATTGAGGCAAAGCTGAAAATGATGGCTTTTTTTTATGTTTTTGCATTTCAAAGAATTTATTTTACAATAGAAAAGTAGACCTGTGAACCAGCCAAGTTCAAAGTTAGAAGGGACAACTTCAGTTCTGGATAACGCACCTGGATTTCATTCAGAACCACTGACCATGCGAGCAACCTCCCAGCTGGTCTCTGCGGAGGGTGGTCCCTCTATTTCAACACCTTTTTCGGTGACTGTGGCAATTTGAAACCGGTTATAGGGGCGGCACCTCGATAATACAGCACTCGCAAGCGGCGGTCCCCTAGCCGTCGGGCCTCAGTCTGGCTCAGGACTGGCTGCTTCTCCAGAACTTCTCGCAGCAGAGGCTGAGCCAAGTATGCACCATAACCCGTGGCCAGCGAAGGGGCCTCAGAAGCTACACCAAGCCTGTCCACATAACCGAGGAGGCTCTCTCCGTCAGCGTAGCCCCCAGGGACCATGGTGTTCCACGGGGGCTTCATCTTGGAGCGACGGCTGTCCGTGGCCCTCTAGGCCTATAGCTGTGTCTGTCTCCCAACAGCTCATCAATCACCATCCGGCCACATGTACATCTTATGTATATAAGCTCCATTTCCTTAGCTTAATATTACTTATCCTTATTAAAATCGCCAATATTTCTGTTATTCTGTTCATTAGCATGGTAGTTGTGATTGCCATTCATCATTAATCTTTATAACCACCCTTCTAACCTTGGATCATTTCTGGGGCGGTCATGCAACACTGAGCAGAAGTTCCCTATTTATAAAGGCTGCAAGATTTACTGAAGGGGATTACAGACACACATCTACAAGCTGCTCCCCTGTTCTCATTCTACCGCCGGGGTGTCCTTGTCCCAGCAGAGCCTCTGAAGAATGCAGAAAAACCCTCGAGGACCCAGTAACCAGATTTGCGAGGCTGTAAGCCCCAGTGAGGGTCTCCTTGGCACCTCAGAGTCACCACAAAATTCTCTAAATCCCCTCAGGGGCACAGGATCCGTGACTGCAAGCAATAGCGAGTCATGGGGTGACAACCATGGCATTCCTGAGACTCTTCTGCAGGCACAGAGGCTATCTGGCGGGACGACTCCGGAGCTGCTGAGCTCCTGAAAATGTACAAGTGCCCCTCAGGGTGCCAGCAACCTCTTGTTCTGGGGGTGAAGACCCATCACAGAATTCTAAGTCTCCTCAAGGTCCTGGGTGCGGCCCTACTGTCCTGGCAAGGCTAGACAAGCATGTGCCTCCTTAGAATTTGGTATCGGCTCAGAGCCCAGAAGCTGCCATTGCCAACACCAGAGGCACTCAGTGTGTCCTTGGCCTGCCTGAGCCTCTGGAAACATTCTAAGTACCTTCAGGTGTTCTGGAAATGCTGGTCCTGCACAGGAAGGCATGCAGCTCATGACCATCCAGCATGAGCAAGGGCAGTGTTGAGTGGGGCAGGGAGTCCTTGAACCACTCGTGGTGGCCTGTCGCCCCCTGCTGGACCAGGAACCACAGCTGTGGACACCTTCCTATAGCCCCCTAGGCTGAGTTGCCCCTGCCTACCCCCAAACGAGACCCCCAGGGTTCTGTGGGGGAAAAGCTGGCAGAAGGGCACCCAGGCAGCGATGGCTGAGGTGATGCTGGGGCTGAAAGCAGGTACAGCTGGGGCTTCTACAAAGGGGGTGTCGATCTGGATCTGGAGTCCTGCCTTCCCTGTGTGGAGCCCAGCCATACCACCCAGGGGGTGAAACTTCTGAAATCCAGTGGGTGTGGAATGATGGGCAGACTCAGGGCTAAAGTCCTTCCATCTCCTTTACAACATCCATCTGGAGTTTGTGCAAGAGTTCTCACATTCACCTTTGTCCTCCTCCTCCTCTGGTATCTATTCTCCTCGGCTGCTACTTTCAGCCTTAATTGTTTTTTTCTTTATGCAGACCTTGGACCCTGGCATCAAAATATCCCATTAGGCAAGAAATTGGTCCCTTGCCGATCATGTTTCATGAGTACAGGGGATTCCCCATTAGCTAACTTTATTACTATAATCATTACGTTATCATTTGTTAGTCATTACAAATATTTTCTTAGTAATAATATTCTTCTTTTTAAAGATTTTATTCATTCATTTATTTACTTATTTGAGAGAGACACAGTGTGAGAGAAAGAGTACTAACAGGATGGAGGCAGAGGGAGAAGCAGGTCCCCACTGAGCAGGGAGCCCACCATGGGGCTCGATCCCAGAACCCTGAAATCATGACCTGAGCTGAAGGCAGACGCTCAACTGACTGAACCACCCAGGTTCCCTCATCCCTTTTTCTTATTATGGATTATTCTTCTGCGGTTGACTTAATACATCACTGTGGGCTTCCCGCAGGACTTAGAAAACCCTGCGGTGGCTCAGGTGGGCAGATGGACATTTCTGTGCCTTCCAGCATGGTAATGCCTTCTGGGCCACTGAAGGCACTGGGATGTTTCCAGCAGCTCTGGTGATCTTAAGACGACCTCATTACGCCTCGGTTTTTGTCAGTGCTGTCTCCCTGGCTCTGAGCTGAGGGAAGTGGAAGATACTAAGGCTGCCGGGACGCTGTAACTTAGAACATTTCTATAAGCTCCAGTTGCCCCTATGCCTCCAGTTTGGGCGGTGGCAATCCCTGGCCTCCAAAATGACCGAAACTAGTGAGACAGGCTGCTGTGGCACCTTCCGCGGGCAGTCATCACAGGTTTCTGTGTCCTCACAGCATCAGTGAAACACTTTGGTTTTACCCCTGTCCTTCACTGGCACTCCATGCCAGCAAGAGGGGTTACCAGACCCCTACAGTGCCTCAGAATATTTTTAAGTGGATCTGACTGGCCAAAGGCGTTCTTGTTAGGACTTGCAGGCTGCCAAAAGCCATTGCTAGGCCCCTAAAGGGACCTGCAAATTTTTCCAAAGTCTCATCAAGAGGGCATAGGGTGCCTTTCCAGGTGTGACTTCATTACCTCAGGTCAAGGCCGTGGAATCATTCAGGAGCTCCTTCTGTGAAAGGACAATCGCTGGTACAACAGGATCCTCACAGCAGCTGTGCACCTGCGTCTGTTGGGGACACTCAGTCATCTCTGGCAGCCAGACACCCTTCATGATACAGAAAATATATTCGTTGCTGTAAAAGAGAACCTCCATCATAATGGTAATGACAGTGGTCACAATAAAAACTGGTGAATATCAACAAGAATGATGATCATTGTCTATTGACACTATTGCCAATGATACTAAACCTATGGACTTGGGACACAGAGAACAGATTCCCCTTAGTGAATAACAGGTACAAGTGTTGGGCCTCATGGGGTAGTTTAGAGTCCCAGAAGGCAAAAATGAAGAGCCAGAATGACAAGAAAATCCGCTTGGAGGTGGGCATGTGTAAACACGAGGACTCCTGAGTGAGCCTCGCATTACAAGGCTTACGGGGAACCTTTAAGGTACCCCTAGTCCTGGGTCTCCATGCCAGCCAACACCTGGTAGCTTTCAGGAGATGAGACAGCTGGCTGTTGTGGCAGGGCTCCTCCCAACAAGGGAGGGCTCCAGACTCAGCACCTGGCACCCAGAAGCACAGACTATGACAAACAAGAAGCCCCCAGTATTGTGTCATCCCAAACCATCTGGCCGCTCTTCTACTGTCTGCACTTCCAGGCCCTTCAGGACTGATGTATCTGGGTACTTGTATCTCCTCCAAGGGCTGCTGGAGGGGGTCACCCTTCATTCTCTCCTACCTGTGGGAGTGGAAATGGCTGAAACCAGTGGTTCCCAGGCTTCTTAGAAGATTCTATGTTTGCTCCAACAGGCCAGTCACCCTTTCAGTGCCTTTTCGCGTTACTCCAGCTATCCCTGGACATATCTCCTGGAGGAGACTTAGGAAATTTCTAGAAGCTCAGGAATTCTGGGAGGCTGTGTGCATCTTTTGCCATGGATTCTTGAACAGATTTTGAAAATTCTGCAGAGGCTCTGGTGAGTAGGGAGGCCCTTTCCTGCCATGCCAGT